ATGATATCCCGGAAAATGGGTTTAAAAAGCTCATAATTGAATGTCATGCGACTAAATATATCATGGCATCGATCTGTGGCAAGGGTAGCTACACTTTAGGCAAATCGCATTCAAGTTGGTGAAGTTTACGCACATTCTCCACTTATCAATCTGGATATCGTACCTAGCGAATGAATTTAGAATCCAAAAGTTTTTAAACTTCTTGTCGGATAATTTCAGCCAAGGTGGTCGATACAATTTGCATTTTCTGTTTGATGACTATGGTGTTGAGATTGACGTTGAGCGGATGGCAAGTGATGTCGATATCAACTCCCGGCATTTCATACGCAATCCAGGCGAATATGTCACGGTGATCCCTCAAGGTTGAGATTAATTGCTCCCTATGCTCTTGGCTCAGGTTGGAGCTGACCTGGAATGTTTTTTCGCACTCCCCCTTGGAGATAGTACTCATTCGGTGGTCACAGTAGTCTCCAGACTGGTGCCTTTGTTTGAGTCGAGTTCGAAGAGATTCTTTTGTACATTTCACACAGCTCGCAGATAATATGTTCAACATTGGACTAGATCTCCTCGTACAATTATGATTTCTACTCTCCCAGTGAATTTTATCCCTACATGGTAGGTGAAAGTCACTGTTTGAATGTGTTAAGAGCACGATTCTACCAAAGATGTCATTGTAAGAAGTTGTGTGTTGACAACTATAAAATTCATCATGGTTGTATACTGCTTGTCTCATTCTTCCCAAGTTACTAGGAGGGAGAAAACTCTGCAAGTCTCTTTTCCCTTGCCTGAGAATCGATACAGTAAAGCGGAAGTAGGCTTTAGTTGAGCGTTCGTCAAATTCAACTTCTCAAAAACCTTCCTAAAGACGATGTTGACTAAACTCCCTATGTTAATCAAAATGTTTTTGATTTGGTGATTTGTCTATTACCGCAGTCACGACAATAGTGTCCTTAAGAGAATTCCTGTTGTCGGGTAGGTTGGCCCCGGTGAAGGTGATTGATGGATGAATTGTGGAAATCACTTTAGCTAAATTGGTGGAATGGACATCTCTTACTTTCAATCACTTCAAGCTTAAATGTAGTGACACTTCAGGTGTCCTTCCCCACCAAAGATGACGGGTATGACACCGACAATGTGTACAATTGTAGCAAAGACTGGTTTGTCAAAAACAGCTTTGGCAAGCGCTTTACCTTGCTTCTTTGTGTTGGCCTCTAGCGCAACGAACTTTTTTAACTTTTCCACTCTAATTAACTCTTCGATTAAATTTCTAAGATGCAACATTCATCAGTATCATGTTTGTGGTTTCGATGATAAGTGCAATACTTATTGGAATTGCATTGGAAGCTCCCCGCTTTCTGTTAAGTCCAGTTTCATTTAACTGAAGGAAGGGAAAGTAGGAAACTGAATGATGAGAATAAGAGGAATCGAACAGTCGAGAACCCGAAGAGGGGAAGGTGAAGCAAGAGGTCGAGAAGTTGAAGAGATACTTTCGTGTATAAATCCACGTGAAGGGGGGGACGGTAGAGGGACTTAACTTACCTGAGAGTCCAACAGCAACATGGAAGGAAGTAGAGGAGGGATCGCGGGATCGCGCAAGCCTCGGTGGTTGCAGTGAATGTGGCTAAGGAAAAGATAAGGGAGCTTGGCAGAGGCGGGGCAGGCGTCGATGTCGTGTGACCGATAGAAGGAAAGGACACACATCATGCGAAAGGGAGAGGGGGTCGCGCAACCATCATGAGGAAGGAGGCGAAGCGAGCAAGGCGTGTTTGCGGGTTAGGATTCGACCAAAAGGAGAGGTACGGTTTTAATAATTAAGTTAATTAATAAAACTTGTGAGTGTGTGTGTTATAATTTAATTAGCATTACATAATGTTAAAAAATGAAAATTTAATACTTAAATAATGTAAATTTAATAGCTAATTATAATGATAACTAATTAAGTTTTTTGTAATATCAATACATATATTTAGGCTTCCAACTTTAGAAGAGTCGACGTCAAGACAAATAAAATAACAAATTAATCGCATCAAAGTGAGTACACCTACTGTTAATCTATAGTAATATTTTGGTTATTCTCTACTATTTTACAGTAGTAGGTATTTATACAAGCTTTATTTTGATTTATATGTCCTTTCTTTTATTATTCACATTGTTATGAATGTTTTTAACTACATACTATCATGCATTGGTGTATATTATATATAGTATATTGAATTGAATGCGACGAGTGAATGAATGATATATTTATATTGACTGCTTGAATGTGCACTACTGACTATGATGGAGCCCCCCTTTATGGTACTAACAGGAAAACACTAAGACACCCGTACACGTAAATTGGAAAAAGATATTGATATCGAAGTATCTTAAGTGTTAAAATTTTCAGACGGTGCTCTTGTGATGGTTGTACAGATATATAATGATATTGATATCTAATCGATATAGTCAGATTTTGTGAATAGCATCAAATGTTTATATTGATTTATTAAAAGCTAACTGAAGTGCATATTACTTTTATTTTCCCTTATATTATTATAGTTTAAAAGTACGGATATTCACTAACTTTGTTTAATTTAGCAGTATTAAAATTAACATTTTATGTTTAATTAAGTAATTAAAAGATGAAAGATAGAAGAAAAATATTTATAGAAGACATGGGCATCCAACAACGAGGTAAATTTAAATATATTATTTTAATTTAATTTAATTTATGACTTTCATTTGTTAAATGATAAATGAACATAGAAATTTAATCCTCACGGTCTGATCGTCTGTACATGTCTTGATTAATTTTAAGCCTTGGGTCGGGTCGTAAAGCTTTCATCGATGGGGGTCACTTAAGAATTTTTTGTTTTGGATAGCCTCTAAGATTTAATCCATCGACACTCTCAACGAAGTGTCTTCTATCATGGAGGACTAAGGTACATCCCTCCTCTCTGGTCTCCTTACGACTAGTCTTCGAGTTGGCTGCTCTGGTTCCTGCTACTAAGGAAGTCCTCTCGAGGTATTTTGATGATCCCTTCATACGAATTACTTAATAAGTCACTGGAGTCCACGAAAATATCCTCTTGAACTTTTCTTTCGTCTCTAGTTCCAAAGGAATTCGGCAAGGAATTGTATTCTTCGGTTGAAATATGATCATTAGCCAGTTCAAAGAGTTTGGCCAACATTTGCGGCTTGCATAGCAGAATGGGCCCTCACGTAGACCATGTGCAAGTGTTACAAAACGACGACGGGCTCGACATCTCCAACATCTAGTATAACTAATTGGAATCGAGTGATAAAGCTCCTCGGGCTTTCGGATGGAACCTGTCGAAACTCAAATAAAGCTTGAGAGTTTTGTGTGATTTTTGAGTTTTGGTGAATTGAGCCACAAACATTCGCTTGAACTCATCGAAGAAAATAATAACTTCTATTGGCAAGTTATTAAAACATCGCAATGCCGGCTCTTTGAATGTCATAAAAAATAAATGACATTTAAGAGTGTAATTTATCCGCCAAACATACTATTGATTCAAAGGAGACTCCGTGAACAGCAGGATCCGTCCTTTCTTTAATGGAGTCCAGGAAATGGATCTTGAACTTCTTATGTGGCTCTGCTTCAGTAATTTCCCCCGAGAGAGCATTCTTTAATGGCTTTCTTCTTCTTCTCGTTCTCTCTTCGTCTTCGGAAGACTCGAAAGTATTCTCTCTAGGGACATATAGTTAGACGTTTGCATCTTCTTCCTCTCCTCGCATTTGAGCCAAGGCTCTATTTGCGCTGGTTCACGATAATTCCTCCTTGGAGATTGGAGTCCTTGTAGTTCTCATCTTTGTGTTATCAATCATGACGATCCAGTATGAATTCTCGAGCAATCCCTAGAACGAGTTCTTGTTACCTCCTACCTTACTTCTTCAACCATCTTTTGCCTTTGTTTTCTTAACTCATTCATCTGTTGTAACACGATCTCTCGTTCTCCTTTGTCTCAAAATCTCATTGTTATATCAGTATTAATTACACATTTAACATACTTTTTAAGGACATTGAATCCTTTTAAGACATAGAGTCTCATATTATTCGTGAGTTTGTACAATCTGAGAGAGATCTTGTGAAGAAGGCAGAAACGAGTTGAGGATTTCAGAGTGTTTGTGTTGTTATTAAAGATGATGAGGAAGAAGAGAGAAAAGAAGTGGCATTCCCTTCTTTCCTTCCTATTTATATCTTCTAGAATATACTTGCTCTTGTAAGCCTAAAATACTAAACAAATATTATGTTGCAGCTTGCGTTTTGTTGGTCCTATTAAGACTAGCCGTTGATAAATTCCTAGGGGTGAATGTCATGCAGCAAATAAATAGACATGGATGATGATAAAAAGGAGTTTTCCTTCCTCCTGTCGTGAAAATTTTTTCAACAAACTTCACGTAACTTGATGAATACAGGCAAACTCGGTCTGGGAGCTCGTTGGGTGTGGCGAGCTCAAGGAGCATAGGTGAACTTAATCAGCGAAGTTCGCATGAATAACAAGTATTAGCGAGATCAATCAAAGGAGCTCGTGTAAACACTAACATGCTCGACAGAGGAGAACGTCAAGTCCTTTTGATAGGCAAGCCGAGTAGTTGTCACCTCCAAGGGTGGCCAGCGTGTATGGTCAATTCTGTCAAGGTCAATGCTCCAAAGGCGTGGTGAAAGGGCTCGATCCGCTAGGCCCATAGGGCTCATAGAATGTTTGGGATTTTCTATTATTTTGAATATCTATTTTTGGATGTACATATAAATATAAAGTAAAAAAATTGGATTTCCTCTAGATGAAATGGCTTCTGTAATATTCTCATATAGTTGAGAGAATCATCTCATAACCATTTGAAGTTGTTGGGTTGCATATAATACAATGTTGAAAATAAACAGAGAAAAAAAATGTAATTATAACAAGACACCTCAAACACAAGCACTATAACAAAGATAACAAATAAGATTGTGTATCGATTCCATGCAAATATTGAGAAAAGGTAGCTGCTTTCACATATACCCTATCATATCCAAGTTGGCGAACATCTTCAAGCCTTCTTGTTCGAATGTGCTTACGTAATTTAAGAGTAAATCCAGAAGGAGTTGTATTTTTGTCCCTGCATCAATAAGAAATTACATGTATTAGAAAAAAGGCCATTGTATTTGAAATTCATGTTAATTTGTGCACGGTATATATATGTATGTATGTATATCAAAGTTACCTCACATATTCAGTTGTGTGCAACCTGACGCCACTTTCCATCAGTAGCAAAACCTTCTCACTCTCCCCAGACTCCGTAATACCGCTGCTATTCATCAACTTGAAAAGATAAGTCTGTTGAAGTATGAAAAAAAGCTTCTTAGAATATCATTATAGCAAGAAGAAGGTGATGACAATTGCCTGAAGATTCAGAAACAAATTGAAAACATTAATGACTTAATAGTTAAGAATATCAGAACACTTAGCAAAAGGGACAACAGAGATAGTATGCCTTTCAATTAGCATGGCATAGGTTAAGCAAAATTTATCATTCAACGGGAGAAACAAAAGCAAATCAAACACTAGTTAAGAAAAGCTCATAATTGGCAGGTCTATAGTGTAATACCAAAGTGCAATTAGCAACTGAAAATTTAGAAGAAATACCTGAAACTGATCGCAAAAAAAGAAATAATAACTATTAGTCGATGACAAAGATGAGAAAACAAAGACAATGTTCGCAAGGGTGCCTGCACAAAGATTTTATTTAGGAGCATTTGCATACATGTCACCCAATTCTTATGTTTGTACATATCTAATACCTAAACTTTATTTTTTACATTAAGCTCACATAAAAAATACCAGCATTTTAACTTTTAAAAAGTGAAATACATCATTTCATGCATAGGTAGGTATGCAAAATTTGAAGTTTAGGTGTTAGATATGTAAATAAATAGGGATTGAGTGGTATGTATGTAATCTTCCTTTTATTTATGAAGCCTCGTTCAATTACAGCTTTATCTTGAACTGTTAAGGTTCGGATAGGCATGAACACAGCTCAAATTCAGCTTACTAAACCTAGCAAGCTCCACACAACCTAGACCCAAGCTTCGGCACAGTAAGAAGCTGAACTTGAAATGATGATCACGAACAATTTTAACCAAGGGGCATTTACATACATAGCACACAATTCTTATGTATGTACATATCTCACCCACAAACTTTCATATTTATACAAATAGCACACAAATCTTTAATGTTACATCCAAAATAGCACTATGACTGCTTTTTAAATGTAAAATACATATTTTCATGGATTAGCCTAAAGCACTGAAGTGTTATGCATGTGAATATGAAAGTTTAGGTGTGAAATATGTAAATACATAAGAATTGTGTGCTATGTATGTAAAATTCCCTTTAAAAAAAGGTAGAAGACAGATAGATTTTTTAAAACTTGAATCAACCTCAAAAAAGAGCAAGCTTGCTCGTGTTTGGCTCGGTTTTTTATTATTCAAGGATAATTTAACTATAAAATCAATATATTTACACTTTTGCGCCTGTTTCAATCATATTATTGGGAATTTGATAAAAATGAAAAACACAGGTTAGAATTTATGATGAATTTTGATATTTGAGATGATTGATTTGTAAATAACAAGTTCCGGGTGGTTTAAATGAAATTGACCCAAATTAAAAATATAAGCAACTTTCTCATTGTCATCAACCAACAACTTCCATTTAATTAAGATAGTTGGAATACAGAAAGCAACCAGTAAAGAGAACAGCTCACACTGCAACTCCCTTTTCCTGAATATAACTAGGCAGCCCAAGCTACACAAAATCCAGAGCAACAATCAACAAAACCTATGGTAGGGAAGTAACTTTTAAAATATTGGGTCAAGGGTGCCAAAAGAAGAGTAAAATAAGACAAATAGGAACAACTTTTAGACCTTCATACCTCCTTAAGAAATAAATAAAAAAACTCCTTGGACGGCTACATAAACATGAAATTGGTCAGTAGCGTGAGTATAATAATTGAAAAGGGACTAATTTTCTCTTTGAACAGTTATTTCTATCTATTCATGCACAATTTCATATCCAAACAATGCTCTCATTCCCTTTCAGCTCATTGATAATAAAGCATGTAGTAGAACTATGCCTCTTTTTTTCTTAACCGCTTCCCAAATCTTTCATGCTTCTCTTAAAACTTCTGAGATTAACTTATCAAATTCATTACAATGGGTTTAACAAAATTCTATGTAGTTGGCCAACTAAGACTAAGCAGTTAAGCTCCAGGATCATAACTTTCAGCTTAGGGATACCTTAATATTTAAGTAATGTTGTTACAAATTTGGTTTATGAATTCTGCAAATTTTAGCATCTGGCCCTTGTTGGATTAGGAAAAAAACTAAAGAGACAATTTTTAACTGTCTGGAAACTCTCTAAAGTTTCGTGATGCCTAAATCAATCCTCACCTGTAGGAAAATTTTAACAACTAAAGAGAGAATCATAAAGCATGGCAGAGAAGTTATAGAAGCTCATAAATCCTAGTCAACTCCAATGAATGGCCTATTGGGCTAATAACCAGAAAGAACAATAATTTTCCATGGCTACCCTATAAATTTGTTAGGAAACCAAAGAAAATTAAATGAAAATCAACTTGGTTAATAATGAATCCGCAGCCAATAGTTTAAGCTTTTCAACTCTCTTTTTTCATTTCATTTCATTAAATTTCCTGAAATAAAAACACAAAATATTGGAGATTTCAGCAAATCAACTTGGTTAATAATGAATCCGCAGCCAATATTTTAAGCTTTTCAACTCACTTTTTTCATTTCATTTCATTAAATTTCCTGGAATAAAAACACAAACTATTGGAGATTTCAGAGTATCGTGTTCCGATTTTTGCTCTATGAAGGTAAGAGAATACCTCATGTCAGAGAAAATAAAACCACTACAAGGTCAATTAACTCACAATACACAGAATCCTGACAGCAATGTAAACCGTTCGCTATGGAAACCAGATCGATTGTAATGGTGGATTTGAGATAAAACAATGGATACAGACAATAAGAGGATCAGTTAGGGTTCTGAGCGGAGGCAATACTTTGGGGGAGATGTCGTAAACGTTGGCGCATCGCATCCCTATGAGTCTTCTAAGGCATTTCACCTCAGCGGCCACGTCGGCCGTGTTCATTCTAACCTTCACCATGTTCGTTTCTCCTACTCGATTACCCTTTGCTTCCTCCCCAGAATTCCCAGCCCCTGAGAAGTCGCTCTTCCTCTTCTTTTATGCCCCTCAACGCTGGAATATCTTTAGCAGCCAAAAACAGTGAGAGGCAAATAAACCCAAATACTTAAAACCAGTTGCCCCATGAACTTACTACACATAGATATATTCATGATCATGATCATACTTGGAGTATTTGTTGGGGTTTCAAAAATAAGCCCCAATTTTCAGGGGAGTCATCTTTCCGAAGTACTCCTTAATTTTTATTGGGTTTATGAGTTCTACTAAAGAAACTTGAAGTGGAGTGAATCTAGAAGTACATCATGATAGTCCTTCATATCTCTTTGGGAAGAATGACCTATTTCCATTTTCGGATGAGGGTCATCTTTCTCTCTCCAACCGTCATCCTTCAAGTTGTTATGGTCAGCTTGTATGCCAAACTTTCGTGCTTTTGTAAAATGAATGTTCATATATTCTTCAGTCTCAATGTGGTCGTTCGCTAGCTCTAGAAGCTTCGCTAGCCCGTCGGTTTTTCTTGAACCCAAAAAGTATCAGAATTATGAGCTCTTTAATCCTTGTGCTAGTGTTGTCTTGAAGGCTACTAGCTCCGGGTTTTAGACTTCGAGCATCTCCTTCTGGAATCTCGTTATATAAGATCACAGACTCTCATTCGGTCCCTGCTTCAGGTACCATGAAGAATCTAAATCTCTTAGTGGTTTTTGGGCACTAGCAAATTGCCCCAAAATTAACTTTTTGTAATCCCTAAAGGAGTTAATACTTCCTACGAAAAGGCCATTGTACCTCCTAAGAGCATAATCTCTTAGTGTGTTGTAGAATAGTTAACATTTTAATGCGTCTAAAATTTTGAGAAAGCGAATTGTCAACTCAAATGGCGCAATATGGTCAGCGGGATTGCTTTTGCCCTTGTATGGTTCCAAGGTAGGAACCTTGAAATTTTTTGGTGGTTTTGCCTCCATAATATGTTGAGTGAATGCATTTTCCATGATAGATTTCTATCGCTCTTGATGTCGGTCCTTCCCTTTGTGTGGATTTGGCGTTATCCTGGTAACAAGATTCTTCTTCTCGTTCGACTGCTGGTGCTACATTTTGAATAGAATGCTTGGGTGCTAGGATCGCTTGTTGAACTGGCAGATGGGGCGTTGGTGGATTAGGTTGCATGAGAGGTTGCGCCCTTTTCTCAAGTAACGTTCAGGCCAACTCCGTAATTCGCTTGACCATCTGGTCATGGAGGGCTTAAATTTGTTGTTGTTTGAATTCTCAGGCAGAATCCAGGTTGAAAGTGTCTCCTTGGTGAGTTACTTTACCCCATCTTGCTTATTGTCCTGTAGACAGCGTGATTCCACGCTCACAACACCCTTTAAGATGTTGGATCCTAAATTGTTCAGTGGATCACGCCTAAGGTACAAAGCGTTAATTGAATGAAAAGCAAGAAGAAAAATTTTAGCACTCAATGCATGTTTGTTCATGAGGTTTTTTTTGTCCCCTTTCTTGAAAATTATTCCCCTATTTATAATTCATATGTAGGATTCTTAAGTTACATGAGGATTCCTCATTAAAGAGAGGAACATTAATATAGTTAATGAGCTGTTACGTTTACAATTTTTATAACTAAATATTATTTATTTTGACCTCATGACTGATGTCAACACCACAATACTTCTGTAACTCCCTTGAATCCTACTTCACTTTTGTGACCATTCAGTTTTGGTTATTTAGATAACGTTTGATCACACTTCATTTGTTTGTAGACCCTTCTTCATTTGGTTATTTTTTATGCTTTTTGGTAGTCTCATTCTGTGGCATCTTTACCTTACCTAAAGCAACTATTAGTCTTCATGATAAGAATTACCTGATGATCAGTGCTGATTTATTTGTTTGATGCTTGTCATTCGTTCGCTCCCTGATATCGTTTAATTGTTTGATGAACAATTTATGTTCTTTATATTTTTGATTAATTGACAAAGTATATGAAGAAAAAAAAGACTACTAAGATGATGATGTGCAAGCAAAAACCTATCCAAAATGTGAATAAAGGGTGTTATTAATGCAAGATTGAAATCTTATAGGTATAAGAAAAAAAAATAAAAGAGTAATTCCTATATTGATTATATTTTACATTTTTTGTTAATTTTTTTTCTCGCGTCTAACTCAATGTTATTATAATTTATAACAGAAAACAAAGATAAATAAACAATAGTTGAAGATCATGAAGATGCATCTATAACAATCACTTTCTCTGTTATGCTCTAATTTTTCATTTCATCTACTGCAACTACTCTCTCTGTTATGCCTTGATGTTTAACATAGGTCTCGTTGTAAAAGTTTTATTTTTTACTACAAGCTTTTGCTATCGTGTGCTAATGGTATAGCCACTTTAACAAAAATTCAGACCATCTTTAAGCATAAATAATTCATCCATTAGCTGCTCTGAGATGATGAACATAATTAGGCAAAGGAATTTTTAGTTTTAAAGAAGCATGACAACCATATATAATAAGGAAAAGAATAATATGATTTTGTAATAAGAAATTTTTAGATGTTGTAATGAAGAATGCGAACATGGTTGTCTAGATGAATTTGATTGTATATAGAATCAAAGCACGAGTATCTTTAGGAATATTTCTTGGATATGTTGTACTCTGAGTAAGCATCCATTATTTGAACTATTTTTTCATCGGTACAACAGATGCAAAATGGTTGTACAGAATCATGTGATTAGTATTATGATACCTACAATGTAGCTTAGTACAATCGGGTACAACATGATTGTACTGAATGACCTCAATGTCTCATAAAATTTGATGCATAATTATCATTAAAAAAAATTTAGAAAAACCATGATGTATCGGTTGTGCTGAACTATCTAACCGCCTTTATAAACTTTGGTATAGCTTCGCTACAAGTTGTACAAATAAGATTGAATGTAAATATAGTGTTGCATACAAAAGAATATGGTCTTGCATACAAAAGTATAATTCCAAAATTCATCTCAGTAGAGCCATATTGTATCAATTGTACCAAATTATTATCACTCTAATGAATTTACATTACCTTCCTGTAAAGCAAAGGTACATAGTAGTACTAACATAAACAACATGATCAATAACAGGAGACTCAAATTTACTCATTACAACTATGTTGTATTGGTTATACTGAGCAACCTAACAGCCTTTTGTTGACATCACTTTTGGTTGAGGTCTAGAAACTTCTTCAGTAGCCTAGGTCTAGCCATAGGATTTTCCTATTGACTAGTCTTAGAAAACTAGAAAAGGTACCTTCACCATTAGAAATTCAAAACTCTTCTTTTTACTCAACTTGAAATTCCACATATTGACTTTA